GAGTCCCACATCGGGCTCCCTGCTTGGCGGGAAGCCCGCTTCTCCCTCTCCCGCTCCCGCTCCCCCTGCTTGTGTTCCTGCTCTCGCTGTCTCTCTCTGTCAAATAAATAAATAAAATCTTAAAAAAAAAAAATACTAAGATATCTGTGGAATACTTTATGGTTTAACAATAGTTTTACACACATTGCCTAATTTGATGCTCAGTTTGTGAGTTTTTAAGGTAGGTTTTATAGTGACATTGCTGATATAGTAAGAGTTTTACTTGGGGTTTTATAATAGGTTTTAATAGGCTTTTTTAATAGGTTTTAAAATGGATTTAGATATTACTGCTGGAAAAATATATCTCGGCTGTGAACATATTACTTAACACTCATTCATTAACTACGACTGTTGTTGGTTTTTTTTAGGATTTATTTTAGACAGAGGGAGAGAGTGCATGCATGCGCGAGTGGGGGCAGGGGCAAAGGGAGAGAGAGGGGAGAGAGAGAAAGGGAGAAGCGGACTCCCTGCTGAGCGGGGAGCCCAACACAGGGCTGGATCTCACAACCCTGAGATCATGACCTGAGCTGAAGTCAAGAGTTGGACACTTAACCAACTGAGCCACCCAGGCGCCCCCATTAACTGTGACTTTGTAACAGGTAGGTGTTTAAACAGTATTTTTATGCTTGATGCATGAATACTGTGGTTACTACATTAGGCATGAAGCTTTAAATACTGTATAGGAAAAAAAACTATGTGAATGAGTAACAAATAAACCATCTGAATGGAAAAAAACCCTTATTTTGAATTCAAAATTTGTTTGAGTAACAAGTTAGCACCAGGGTCAGTTTGGAGAAGGTCAGAAACAAAGAGTTATAGCTCAATAACCTTAGGGCCGCGTTCCCAAAGACTGAAGCTAGAGAGACAAGGACCTTGTAGTTTTAGTAATCAGGAATTCTAGTGAAAGGCCTCATATTGGAAACTAATACTGTTTCTCAGCTCCTTTACTAATGAGTCCTACAAGATTCTGAATGCTAGACAATGCTGAAAAGAAACACCAAGAAGTTAGCTCTTAACGCTTCTCAGCAACATGTGACTCTGTAAAATATTCTCTAGTTCTCCTTAAGTTCCCAGCAGTATTTTCAAGGTCAGACCAGGAGGCAGAGGATGAAGCTGAAGCTAGAAACCATCACCGCACACCTTCCTCCCCAGTCAACTATCCTCCAACCAGGAAAGAGCTGCACTGATGCTCAAACATTTTAAATCCTTTCTACTATAAAGATTAAATTTATTAAAAAGTTCTATATTTTTAATCTGCCTTCCCCCTCAAAAAAAAACTAAAAAATTTTTTTAAATAAAAAAGGGATCTGTTTTTTAAAGTATAAAAAATTTTCTTTTTCTTAGATCTACTTGCGAATTTTGTAGTTTCACTATAAAGTATGTCTGTTTGGACCAATTTGATCTGGCAAAAAATGGAATGTGAAATAAGCATGATAGAAGTATCATTTGGGAACGTTCTGGAAAGCAGTTTAGAAATCTGTACCAAGACCTTAAAAAATGTTTCTGTCCTTTAACACAAAAATTTCAGAATAATTGGAAGAAATGATAAGAGGTTTGAGGCACAGGGTTAGTACAAAGATTGTTCATTGCACTATTAATTCTAATAGTAAAAATCAAAGGTTCACATATAAATTATGATACATACATTCATTTTATGAAATATCACACAGCCTATTACAAAGACTATTTACTATGATGGGAAAATGGATGTAACTAATACACAACATATGTGTGTCTGTATGACTAGAAGAGAATGTGTCAAAATACTAACGTTCATTATTAAAGGATAGGATTGTTTTCTTTTAATTTTGATATGTCTTAAATTTCCTAGAATATCAGTTTTTATCTAAACAGTTTTAATTTTTTTAAAAAGATTTTATTTTTGGGCGCCTGAGTGGCTCAGTTGGTTAAGCCACTGCCTTCGGCTCAGGTCATGATCCCAGGGTCCTGGGAACGAGTCCCGCATCGGGCTCCCTGCTCGGCGGGGGGCCTGCTTCTCCCTCTCCCACTCCCCCTGCTTGTGTTCCTGCTCTCGCTGTCTCTGTCTCTGTCAAATAAATAAATAAAATCTT